TCTTGAATTGTACTCCCATAATTCCCATGTGTTGTGGGAGGGACCCAGTGGGAGATAATTTGAATCATGGGGGAGGTTCCCCCATACTGTTCTCATGGTAGTGAATGAGTCTCATGAGATCTGATGGTTTTATCAGGGGTTTCTGCTTTTACATCTTCCTCATTTTCTCTTGCCACTGCCAGATAAGAGGTGTCTTTCACATTCCGCCATGATTCTGAGGCCTCTCCAGCCTCAGAATGTGGGACTGTAAGTCCAATTAAACCTCTTTTTCTACCCAGTTCTGGGTATGTCTTTATCAACAGCATGAAAACAGACTAAAACAGTATGCTTCTAATAATCCACTGTCCTTCTCTAAGTTCCATCTGTCTTCTGCACAGGCTAAATGGACAAGTTAAAAGGAGTTATAATGGAAATCAAAACCATGCATGTTTCAAGTTCTTGACAGTAGCACTAAATTTTGCAATCCCTCTAGAAATGCATTATTGAATTTGGTTTACTATTTTTCCCAAGTAGAGGCAGTTCTTGTGTCCTTCATTTTGCCTGTTCTACCATAAAAGTCCTCATTCTACAAGTCAGGGGACCCACCCAATGTGGGGACTCTGCGAGCTACTGAGTGGTCCAGAACTAAGGAAACAACCACCAGGTGGGCTTGGGGATTCATAGAACACACTGTGAGAAGGACCTGAGTTCAATACTCTGGTGTACCATGGTGCCATTGTAAGTCTCTCAGAATTAATGTCAGTTCAGAGCCTCTGTCCAATAGATCCTTTTTCTTTTCTTTGGTCAGAGGCAATAGGTCCTTTATGGGAAGACTGAGAGAAAAATTAACAGTATACATTTTTGATAGTTTATCAGTGTCTGTCTTTGAGGAAACCCAACCTCCTCTTCAGTCACTGGATTCTGGCTCTGTAAACTGGCTCACATCTGGGAAGTGATTGAAGTGTCAATGAATCTCTGTCTTTATGATTTAAGTTAGACATTTATTCACCTGACCTGAATTTTTCTGCTTACAAAGCAAATAAGAATTTAGACTTTCTACATATTTCACTTTCAGGAACACTATGATCAGCCAGCCAGTGTCATAACTCTGCATGAGTCAGACAATTCTGATTGCTGTTTTGTCTCTGCTGTCCACTACAGTAACCATGCCAACCTTGCTTTTAGTCACTGAGTGTTGCCACCTGGCCTCAGCCACTCAGGATCGAATAACTCTAATTGTATTTACGTTTCCCAATTCAGTGACTATAGTTCCCATTGTAAGTTCTAGGCTACAAAGAAGAACAATTGCCAAGTTATTCAAGGATGCCAAGGCTCTCCTCACATATGCATTTCTTATAGTTGTGCTGAAATGTCTTCTGGACCCTCCCAGCGTGGGTGAGTAGGTCTTCAATGATAAATACACTCTAATATTAAAACCTCTCTAAGCCTTCGAATCTCTTCCTCTAGGTTAGACAAGGCAGGACTACCATTTCCAGCTAGCTCGCTGTGGGTCATCTCTTATTCCATGTTTTAGTCAAGCAACCAAACTAACGGGGTCTTTATAACTCCTTGAGTTGCAACATTAAATGCAGAAGCTATGCTTAGTGAACCCATGTCAATTACTTTGGGTTGATCCAATGTTTTGTTCCTTCCATTATTATCTCACATCATTGATATCCATTTCCACCTGTGTTCCCTAAATTTCTGTCTGTATGAAGTAAAAAAATGCAAGCAGTTCTTCTGAAGTGTAGTTCACCTGCTTATGGGTGATATTTTGGACCTCACCTTTAGGGGCTTGTTAGGCTTCAGGCTAGTTATAGATCTAGAAGCAAAGAGGTGTGGAGGTGAGTCCTAAGAAGACTGAGCGTTGTCTTATATGACAGCTGGCTCAGGGAGGCCATTACAGTTTTTTTCAGGCAATGCAGGGTTAATATCCTCACACAGGGGTAGAGAGATCACTCCCACTTGTAGTGGAGAAGCTATTCTCACTGGGCATGGGGAGGCTTCTTCCCCTGGCAACGAATACTCATCATATTTAGGGGCTCACTGTTCCCAGCTTAATTAGGTTCTTCCTCCATATAGTCATGCCAACTTACAAGATCCCACTCTCTCTCAATTAATGCCCTTACTTTAACAGTAGATACTCATGAGATTAGGAGTTGAGCTTTTATTGTAACTCAGCCTGTCATAGGATGAGATTCTGGGTTTGATTTTCAGCAATCTTAGCCATGTGGCTACAGGAAATAAAGAGCTTTTCAAGGCAGACATAGAAACCTTCAAATCGTTTATACAGTGTTTTAGCTGAAAATCTGAATCCCTGAATGCATCTTCTTCTTTTCCCACTATATCTGGTGACATTAGGAAAATCAATCAATCATATTATATTCATTGATTTGCCAAAAATGTTTGAAAATGTCATATACATAGTTACCCATCTCCTTGATTCTTAAAAGCGGTTGATTAGGCGTATCTAATTGAGATATTTTGCCTATCTCCATTGCCAGATCATGTCATGGAATATAAATACTCTTTAGTACTAGAAATAGTCATTAGTATCTGTAATCAAATCAGAAAGCCAATTTCAGAAGTAACTGTGTGTGTGTGTGCGTGTATGTATGTAAATACACACACACACACACACACACACACACACACACACACACACACATATATATATATAATGCATATGAGAGAGAATTTTTGTTTTCTTGAATAAGAAATGGGCTCACACTATTATTAAGACTGAGCAGCCAATAGTGTAGTTCTAGGTTGAGTTTGAAAGTCTGCGAACTAAAAGAGTTGATGTAAATTCTAGTTCCATAGCTGGCAGGCTCAAGACCTAAGAGCCAATATTTTTAAGTCCAAAGGAAAAGACCAATGTTGTAGCTCCAGCAGTCAAGTAGCAGGGGTTACTTCTTATTCATTCATGAGAAGTTCAACTTTTTGCTCTATACTGGCTTCAACTGATTAGATAGGGCCTCCCACACTGGGGAGGAAGATCTGCTTTAACTGATTCAAATGTTAATCTCATCCAAAATCACCCTCACAGATATGCCCAGAAATACTGTTTGGCCAAATACATGGGTACCCTGTGGCTCAGTCAAATGGTCACAAAATTTCCCATTACCCACAGTATCTCCCACTATGCTTATACATAGCCAATATCTGCTCCTTTCCCCACATATAACCCATTGACCAGACTGAAAAAAATGTTCAATATGCCTGGATAGGAGTGAGTTTCAGAGTCTACGACAGTGTTAGTTTTGCACATAAATGTGATTCACACAAGCTATGTCAATTAAACCAACAACAACATACTGCTTTCCTCAGGAACGATCTTTTCTGAAAGTCATTATTGACAGTAATAACAGCAATCATAATAATACCTTACATTTGTAAGGTTAAGTCATATTCTGAGAAAATTTAATTTGTAAGAATTTATAAGGCTGACTTTAGATCTAAACCACACATAAAGCAGTTTATTGTCTTGATGAATCTAACAAATCTCTTAATGTATATTGAGGTTAAAAAGTGACAAAGACTCTCTTCTTGCTCAAATTTTAGTCAGGCTACTCTGAGTCCCCTTCTTGAGTATGCATAGACTTTGCCCCCATTCTTGCCAGTTCTTTATAGCCTAGTTTCAGCAAGAATCTTGCTAAGTCAGTTTAAAGAGACGGATAACCTATCCTGGATATGACCACACACAATATCTGATCAATTTTCTCATCCTTCTCATCCCCTACCTTTGATGTTATCATCTCTTGATCTGCCTTCAGCAAGGCCTCTGTTGAGCAGTAAGTCCCCTGTTCCTGATGTCTTCTCTTAGTAAGTCTCCACTCACTGACCCCTGCTCTCTGCTTGTTGGCTGCAAATCCCCAGCTGTGTTTGCTGTGTTCTGAATTAAACGTGATCTCTCTTGCCTATTGCAATAGTTCTTAATGGCAGAAACAGCAATTACTTTTGTACCAACCTAATAAAGTTTTCCTTATTGTTTTAACAAATATCAGAATAATTTTTTTTTCTGTAACAAGAAAAATTATTATTTAAAATAATGGAGCAGCACTCTGTAGCCAGTCAGTATTATCTGGGGATATGCTATGCAGGGATTTGATTGCTATGTACAAAATTGAATAGTCTGCATGCCAAGACACCTGTATAAAGCCTTTCCTTTTGTATAAATTCTTTCGGTTTCAATAAAAAGCCCTCAAACCTTACCAGAGTTTTCCAAATATTTACTCAACACAAAGGTAAATGTACTTTGCATTATGAGTGATTTAAGGATTTACAGAGTAATTCTGAAAATACTTGCCATTTTATTCCTGAATAGGACCATATTTTCTATTGCTTTATAACTTAAAATACTCTTTTTCATGGACATTTAATTAGGTATTCAAAGTAACCCTACAAAGGGGAATGTAACTGTCTTCATTTAAGAGAAGACCGAGACCAAAATGCAGGCTCTCTATTCAGTTTCAGGGAGGAAAATTATAATTTTTCCAATAATAAATACGGTAGATATTTTTAAAATGCCTGCAATGCCTCTCTCTATTTCAAGCTTTTTCAAAGCGAACTGCTACATTGACTGTTTGGCCAAGTGTCTTCCTTTGGCTAATAAGACAGTAGAAAATTAGTAATAAACAGAATTGAAGAGTACTTGTACATTCGGGCTTGTTCTTTGCTGTTTTTGAAATTCTGAGACTTCCATGTGAATTAGCCTGCTGGATCAGAAACATATGGCCCAGTCACTTCCATCACACATCCAACACCTAGCAATACCCAGAAGCAGAGATGCATAAACAATCAGCAGCTGTTCCTAGATGTTTGATTCCTGTCAAGATCAGAAGAACCATCCACCCAAAGTTAGCCCAGATTTCAAACCCACATAATCATGAGCTACATAAATGCTTGTTGCTAAGTTTGGGATGGTTTGTATTTCAGCAAGAGGTAACAGATACAACATGAGAAAGTGATGTCAAGATGGTTGATCTTGAGGAAAAGAGCTTAGCACAGCCCAGACTTACTTAGACTGTTGGTAAGAATATGCAGGTGCATGTTCGTTAGATGTGTCCACTGCTATCTGTTGCTGCTGACCACTGGTGTCCTGGGATGAAGGTGCCACTGTCTGGGGAGAGGTATCAGCAACAACACCCTAAGGAGGCAAATAACAGAAAAGCCTTACTTGCTTCAGCAAAGGGCCCTCTCTAGATGGGCTGTAAGTACCCCTCTTCTCTTTGGCTTGAGTAGAGATGCCCTCAGCTATATGAAGTCACAATACGTACTCAGAGGAAACCCAGAGAGCACATTTAGATAGGGGATAAGTAATTCATCCTAATGTGACATGAAGAAGCCTTGCCAGCTGAAGTCCTTGGAGAAGTGGTCGTAAAATAATTTTGCCTGTACTTGGAACTTTTAAATGATGTTTACACATTTGTCCACAATAAATAACAATTTATCCTCATTTCAGGATTCCTATAAAAACTTGTATGTTCAAACATTTTCCTGGCATAGTTCACTGGATCATGTCTATACCATTTGGCATAACAATGGAACCTGAACTTAATAAAAATATACATCAAAGTTTGGAAATCTTTTAAAAGGATGCTAATTAAGTAGGTGGTTTTCTCTTCAGTAATTTGATTTGATTTTGTTTTGTTTTCCAGGATACAAACTGAAAATCGTTGAGAAGTTTTAGAAAAACAACAACAAGACTTAACCTTAATTTTGGTTTGCTTTTCCTTTACCTTTTCTGTTTTTGTTTCTCACAGATGCTGGCAAGAGTGGATTTCTGGAAATGGTCATAATCAGGAATATATTTTTGGATCCCACAGAGGCACAGGTGATTTTATTTGGTTGTTAGTAGCCTAAGCAGAGCATCTATCTCAATACATGTTCCTGGCTGTATTTGCAGTCCTGGATACCTGCAGTGATGTCAAGTTTGAAATGTTCTTGGTTAATTCTGTTGCTAACTGAAATTCTCTAAATTTCTTCTTTAGAATTTGAAAATTCTGTCTATATTTATTCACTCTTTTCTTTCCGAATTTACTGTTTGGTATTATTTTTTTGAACCCTCCCCACCAGCATTTACTTTATAGATATTGATAAATGGTCAATGAATGTTTTTACATAGAAAATGAATTAATGCTTATAATCACTAGTTCAAGGCGATATCAGAGTATATTTATATTTTTCTCAGTGAAATATTTCTTTGTAATCCCTAAATATAACTATAATTAGACTGTTTCCAGTAAGCCACAGTCATATGTCTCTTAATCATCAAAATGGTCAAATTTTGTAGATAAGTATGTCTTTGGTGTACACAGGGAAATGCAAATATGTGGTTGAAGTTGACATTTAAAGTGCCTAGAATGTCCAGATCTAAAATTTTCTCATGGTATTGGTGCTTTTTGACAGCTAAATACAGCAAAGAACATGAAATTTAATCACATATTCTTCAAATTCTGAAAAGACAATTAAAACTGTTTAACATGACACATTCTTTGAGACCTACAGGTCTACAACACATGAAAGATTTAAAAATTGGAACCCCTGGCCAGGCGTGGTGGCTCACGCCTGTAATCCCAGCACTTTGGGAGGCTGAGGCACGTGGATCACAAGGTCAAGAGATCAAGACCATCCTGGCCAATACAGTGAAACCCTGTCTCTACTAAAATACAAAAAAATTAACTGGGCGTGGTCGTGCACACCTGTAGTCCCAGCTACTTGGGAGGCTGAGGCAGGAGAATCATTTGAACTTGAGAGGCGGAGCTGGCCGGTGAGCCGAGATTGTGCCACTGCACTCCAGCCTGGTGACAGACTGAGACTCCGTCTCAAAAAAAGAAAAGAAAAAAATGGGAACTTCTTGGTTTCCCAAACCTTGGTGGTATGAACACACATTTGTCGCACACCAAAACCAGGAAACATTTTAGAAGATCCAATTTAGTCTATAAAGGTCTCCCTCAATCTCAGAGATTGAGAGTTTTGGTCGATTTTTATGTGGAGTGTTGGTACCAACACACCAGTTGCTTGCCAACAAATGGAGCAGCAAAGACAACAACTCCAAAGGATTCCCAGCTGATGAGAGGGAATGCACAGTGACTGCAATGCACATGTGCATCAGGAGAGGGGAAAGAAGGGTAATAAAACAGCAATGTCTAGAACAAGAGAGAAGAATACATATACCTAAATGTGTTACCACCATCTACATAGCTCTGTGCCTTCTCCATTTCTGTGTAGTTCATAGCTCTGTCCAGTCAAATGATGTGTAGAGGGCATGGATTTATCAGAATGTAAAGAGAGAAGGAAAGCAGCAAAGCTTCCATTAAAGACAAACTGACATCATCATTCATGATATCCACAGCAATAAGAGTTGTACCGTTTCTTTCTTATCTATAAGAAGCTGCAAACCTGTGAACGTTCTTGGCCTAGAGCAGTGGTTTCTAGTCTTTGGTACACATAAGAATCATCTAAGATCTTTTAAAAATATGATATTCAGTCCATACTCCAGACAAATGAATCATAATCTCTGGGGATAGGACCCAGGAATCAACATTTTTTAAAGCTCCCCAAATAATTTCAATGTGCAGAAAAGTTTGAGAAGTAGTGCATTCATCCAGGGTCTCTCAAATTTTAATGTGCATCTGGATCACTGAGTGGTCATCTTAAAATGCAAACTCAGATACAGTAGGTTTGGATAGTACCTGAGAATCTATAATTTTTTTTCTTCCTTCTGACAGGGTCTGTTTTGCCCAGGCTGGTCTTGAACTTCTGATCTAAGAGATCCTCCTGCCTCACCCTCTCAAGTAGCTAGGATTACAGGTGCCTGCCATTGTGCCCCGTAAGTCCGCAGTTCTAACAAGCTCTCAAGGGATACCTTTGATGCTGGTCCAAGAGCCACTCTTTGAGGAACATGGCATTAGAGAACTAGTTCATTCACATACTTGTAAACTTTTTTCCTTTTATAAGTATTTGTGATTAAAATTTGATGGAGTCGTGATTTGGTTTCTGGAAGAGACTCCTGTCATGTCCCTGTAGCAGATGAGCTCATTTCATGTGCAAAACAAAACACAGCTACATCCAAGGTAAATGTTTATACCTTCATATACTGAATCTATAATGTAAAATTTTAGAGCAGCACAAAAATTGCAAGTGAGCATTCCTAGGGTTATGGGGGACTACAGTGCATGTGACTGAGATGTATCTCTTCTAACCTCTTTCTGTTAGACAGGGATAGACTTACTTCAATAGAAACAGCTGTCGGAGGCACAGGCGTGTACTGGGGAATGTAGGTCCCTTGCATAGGAGCAGCAGCAGTCATATACTAGAGAGAATCAAAGAAAAATGCATGTGAACTTTGAGCTGCAACCATGAGAAAATGAAATACCACATGAGATTGCTTAGCTGTGTGGCCCATAGCCAGTGCATATTTTTTTCTCAACTCAATTTTCACTAAAACTAAGGCAGTTCCTCTCAGTATGGAAAGGCCTTTGCTTACTGATTTAGTACCCACAGCAGCTCTACCTCTTAATTATCAATATGAGTTAATTCACCCCATTTCCTCACTTTGTCCTTTTACACATTCTAAATAAGGTTTCAAACATTGTTTTACATTTCACATCTAAACACAAGCTCCAGGGGGATGGGGGTGATGTCTCTTTTTCTGTCTCTTGTATTGCTAGCACCTATCACATAGTAGGCTCTCAACTAGTATTTGTTGAATGAATGATCATATAAATTGTTAGTAATATTTATTTTTTTAATTAAAAAAGCAGTAAACTAATGTAAGAAAGTTATGTAATACATTCACATAATTGGCAAATGTCATGTTTTCATGTTTGCATCTTTTTAAATATAAAAAATAGAGAATTACAGATAATATTGAAGTCTATTGTTCCCGTCTCCCATTCTGTTCTCATATCACTATTAAAATTTCCTTTCCAATGCCTTTAATCCACCAAATTTTTCTTATCAGGATGAATAACGAAGCCAGATCATTTTTTGCTAAGTTGCAGTAGTCAATAAATTATGTATTGGGGATAACTTCTATTTTTGCAATAAAGAAAGGGAGCCCAAATAAAACTACATGTTCAGTTACATAAGAATGAAGTATGACCCATATTCCTAACACACACATTCACCCTGAAAATTCAAGTTCTACTCTTCAATAATTGAATTTTCTATGGAATCAACTATGTTTCTAAGTTTCTGAACTTCACCAGTAACACAAAATGTCAAAACTGAAATCATCAAATGAAGACAGGGTTTCTCAATTCATAAAGTTTAGAGGAATATTTTTTGGTGGAAAAATCGAAAGCTTCTCATCCTTTATTTTTCTAAATTTGCTGAGATCAAATACTAAGTTCATGTATAAACATGAAAAAGCTAAATTACTGTTTGGTGTATCTTAGTATTTTCAGTAACCAAGAGGCATGTTGATTCTGAATCAAGGAAAGCAACTGAATTAACCTTAACCCTAACCCATCTTTTTTGTTGCTGTTATTTCCCCCCGTCTTTTGAAACCTGGTTTTACTCTGTTGCCCAGGGTGGAGTGCAGTGGCGTGATCTTGGCTTACTGCAAGCTCTGCCTCCATGGTTCAAGTGATTCTTGTGCCTCAGCCTCCCCAGTAGCCTGGATTACAGGTATGTGCCACCATACCTGACTAATTTTTGTATTTTTAGGAGAGATGGGGTTTTGCCATATTGGCCAGGCTGGTCTCAAACTCCTGGCCTCAAGTGATCCAGCAGCCTCGGCCTCCCAGAGTGCTGGGATAACAATCATGAGCCACTGCGCCTGGCCTGTATCTGCCTTTTCAACAAGACTGCTCTAGCAAGTATGCTGTAGATAACAGTTCCCTGGCCATTTCAGATAGGTAATGTGCCTCTGTTACACAGGTTCTAAATATCCTTTAATTTAGTACTTTTTACAATGTATTCCTTGGAACACTAACTATACTGAGAATAAAGTTTTCTCTGTTCCAGTGTATTTGAGCAATGCTGCATAATACATCCTCTTATTGATATTGACATATGATTAAAAACTCTGAGAAATCTCCCATTCACAATAGTTACAAAGAGAATAAAATACCTAGGAATACAACTAACAAAGGATGTAAAGGACCTCTTCAAGGAAAACTATAAACCACTGCTCAATGAAATAAGAGAGGACACAAACAGATGGAGAAACATTCCATACTCATGGTTAGGAAGAATCAATATCGTGAAAATGGCCATACTGCCAAAAGTAATCTATGGATTCAATGCTATCCCCATCAAGCTACCAATGGCCTTCTTCACAGAACTGGAAAAAAAAACACTTTAAACTTCATATGGAATCACAAAAGACCCCGCATAGCCAAGACAATCCTAAGCAAAATGAACAAAGCTGGAGACATCACACTGTGGACTTCAAACTATATTACAAGGCTACAGTAATCAAAACAGCATGGTACTGGTACCAAAACAGAGACGTAGACTAATGGAACAGAACAGAGGCCTCAGAAGAAACACCGCACATCTACAACTGATCTTTGACAAACCCAGCAAAAACAAGCAATAGGGAAAGGACTCCATGTTTAATAAATGGTGTTGGGAAAACTGGCTAGCAATGTGCAGAAAGCAGAAACTGGACCCCTACCTGTCACCTTACACTAAAATTAACTCCAGATGGATCAAAGATTTAAACATAAAACCTAAAACCATAAAAACTCTAGAAGAAAACATGCACAAAACCATCCAGGACATAGGCATAGGCAAGGACTTCATGACTAAAACACCAAAAGCAATGGCAATAAAAGCCAAGATAGACAAACTGGATCTAATTAAACTCCAGAGCTTTTGTACAGCAAAAGAAATCATCATTAGAGTGAATCGGCAACCAACAGAATGGGAAAAAATTTTTGCAATCTACCAATCTGACAAAGGGCTAATATCCAGAATCTACAAAGAACCAAGATATACAAGAAAAAAATAAACCACCCCATTCAAAAGTGAGTGAAGGATATGAACAGCCACTTTTCAAAAGAAGACATATATGAGGCCAACAAATGTGAAAAAATGCTCATCATCACTGGTCATTACAGAAATGCAAATCAAAACCACACTGAGATATCATTGCATGACAGTTAGAATGGTGATCATTAAAAAATCTGGAGACAACAGATGCTGGAGAGGTTGTGGAGAAATAAGAACACTCTTACACAGTTGGTGGGAGTGTAAATTAGTTCAACCATGTGGAAGACAGTGTGGTGATTTCTCAAGGATCTAGAAATAGAAATTCCGTTTAACCCAGCAATCCCATTACTGGGTATATTCCCAAAGAATTATAAATCGTTCTACTATAAAAACACATGCACAGGTATGTTCATTGCAGCCCTGTGTACAATAGCAAAGACCTGGAACCAATCCAAATGCCCATCAATGATAGAGTGGACAAAGAAAATGTGGTACATATACAACATGGAATACTACGCAGCCATAAAAAAACAATGAGTTTGTCTCCTTTGTAGGGATGTGGATGAATATGGAAACCATCATTCTCAGCAAACTGACACAAGAACAGAAAGCCAAACACCACATGTTCTTGCTCATAGGTGGGTGTTGAACAACGAGAACACGTGGACTCAGGGAGAGGAGCATCACACACCGGGAGCAGTTGGGCAGGGTAGGGAAGAGACAGTGGGGGGTGGAGAGGGAAGGGAGGGATAACATGGGGAGAAATACCAGACATAGTATGCACCTAAAGTAACATAAATAAGTTTAAAAAAAGCCTAAGAAATCATGTTTTATAGAATAAGTCTATTTAAAGGTGATCAGGTTGTATTTCCAAAACTTCTTATTTTTGGTAGCGTTTGTTAGTTTTGTTTAAAGCTAGTGCTCTAAGAAATATACTCTGGAAAATGTTTAATCTCAAAAATCTAGTAGATTTATAGCAAGTGAGAGTATATTTTTTACAACCATGAATTTAAGTTCAGAACTGATACATTTGTGGCTCATGTTCTATCCTTGGGTGATGGTTTTCCAAGATTTACTACAAACTAGTAAAAGGATAAACCCTTATCTATTTGAGTATTTCCTAAAGTTAATAATTGTAAACTTTGCAACTTGCCCAGTGAGTTAGCATGCATATTCTTTGCGTAAGAGGATGTCACTGGCACCCTCTGTAGACTGCTACTCTGATCCATTCTCACCCCACTCTCTACATCTCTCAGGAGATATTCTGTGCATTAGAGGTCATTAGGAACATGACTTATGGCCATATACAGCAATGTCCACTGGTTCAGACGAGTATCTACTCCATTATTTGGACTTTCCTTGCCCAACTGGAGTTCCTAGGTAGTACAGTTAATAAGGAGCATTGTAGGTGAATCCTAGCTAAGCTGCTTCAAATGACTCTTGAGTTATTTAAAACTCCATCGGTGTTTTGTTTTAGTAAAACTGAATGAGAGTATCTTTACTTCTTTCACGACATTTAATAAAGTTGTAAACGTGACCAAAACGGAACTGCCTGTAGTGCAATTCACACTCATCTCTTCAGAACAACAATGAGTCAAGCAAGATGGTTCACCCATTTTACAGATGGAGAAATTGAGATTCTTATGTAATGAGGATAAACCCCAGTTTTTGTTGTTGTTCTTGTTGTTGTTTTCTTCTTTTTTTCTTTTCTTTATAGAGGCAGTCTTGCTCATGTGGCCCAGGCTGGGGTGCAGTGGTGCAATCATAGCTCATAGTACCCTTAAACTCCTGGGCTCAAGTGATCCTCCCACCTCACCGTCCCAAGTAGCTGGGACTACCTGCATGTGCCACCATGCCTAGATAAGTTTTTTTATTTTTATTTTTGTAGAGACAGGGTCTTATCCAGGCTGGTCTTGAACTCCTGGCCTCAGGTATCCTCTGGTCTCTGGCTTCCAGTTCTTTTGACCTATTATTCAGCACATTTTTTTCCATTCTACTTCATTATTTTTGAAGTTAAGTAAATAAGGTCTTAAGATCTTCCTTCTGATCTTTTCCATGCGATATAAATACTAACTTGCTTTAATGGGCTTTAATAATTGAAGAAATACAGAAACATGCCACTGATTGATAATTTCAGTTATTTTCCATACATATTGTTTTTCCTTCACTTCATACTCAGAATACCTAGTTGTCTTCTAGGTGGGATACCTTATATACTTGGTAACTTAATATTTTTATGCTGCTTTTCTTAACAGATCCAGTGGAGATTTTACAGTATAATTGAGATCAGCTCAGTTCAATGTGTTGTATGTGTGTGTATATCTTTTAGTGAAAAAAAAAAAATCTTTCTGCTTGCTTTTCTTTTGTCAC